CGAAGCGGGACCAAGCCCGGACGGGCGGGGAGCGATGGTGTGGGGAGTAGGTGCAGGTTGCCATAGGAACACGGCGCAAGGGCTGAACCCAGACTGCTCGGGAGTGCGCGTCCCGTCCCGCAGGGAGAGTAGGAGTGAACCAGGTGGAGGGGAGAGACGAGGTGGCAACTGCTCACGAGGTAGCTCGGGAGAAGAGCAAGTGACAGCAAAGGCCCCAGAGCTAGAAGGTGCGGTGTGGGCCCACCCTGACCCAGACCGGGAGGACCCAGGGCAAGGTGGATGCTGGAAAGCCTGGGGTGCACACGCTTTTACTCTTCCGCAGTGACTGACTCACTGATAACACCGCTCTTGTTCCCCCTACGCAAAATCTTGGTCGAAGACGACAGTTTATTGCCTAAATGAATGTACTGCCTAGCCCAGCTGTTATTCTTCCCGCTGTAACCTGAACTTCCCTGTGGCTTGAGGTCTAGAAAATGTAATTCTGTAAGCAAACCCTGATGCCAGAACCTGCTTGGTGTCCTCTGCACGATGCAGTGAAGTGACAGGTTGTGTCTTCATTGGCAGCAGAGGTTTACCTGGTCCTACATAAGTCACCTGTCCCTGAGCCTGCTTTATTTTCCGCAAAAAGGAGGTTTGAGATTGGCAGGTATGAGTAGGGCCAGCAACGGACGCCCGCTCAGCCACACGCAGATGGAGTGTGACTCTGGTGCTGGGTGCTTGGGAAGGGGGTAGGTAGGTGGCTTCCCTCCCTGCCCCAGCCCGGACGGGACTTGCTCATGGTCTCACGTGCTGGTGATGACGGCCAGTCGGGTAGTGCTCACTCCGTCCTGGTGGCAGGTGCTGGCAAACCCGAGGGGCTGTCCACAGGGTAATTCCAAAGGCTTGAGACCAGCCATCAGGCAGGCTCTTCACGGTTGGGCCCCAACTCAGCTCTCCAGCACAGCCCCCCACCGCTAGGGTTAGCACCTGCATTCACCCACCAGCTACTTATTGCATAGCTACTCTTTGCCAAGTACTGGTTCAGATTCTAGGGTACAACAGTCACCCAAATGAAGCCCATCTCATGGAGCTTTAGTGGGGACAGCTGGACAGGAGGTAAATGGATGATGTGTCAGGGATGATAAATGGTATGAAGGAAAATAAAACGGTAGGGGAAAAAGAGGAGGAGCGAGTGCTGGTTTATTGGTGTGCCGTTTTGTCCAGGAGTGTTGTTCTGATAGAGTGGCAGTTGGGCAGATCCTGACAAGCTCTGTGAGGGAGAGAGCCATGATGCTATCTTGAGCAAGACTGTACCAAGCAGAGAGGACAGCAGAGCCAATGTCCTGGGGCAGAGGGTGCTTGGGCATAGCGAGCAGGCCAGCATGGCTGGAGTGGAGTGGGCCTGGGGGAGTGTTGGGTGAGGCGGTAAGGCACTGTGGGCTTGGGAGCAAGGGGACAGTGTGCTCAGGGGAGAGAGAGCTGGAGGAGGGGGAGGGAGAAGGAGAAGGCAGGGGGAGGGGGAAGACTTACATGAGCCTGCCTTGAGTAGGTGATGGCCTCAGGTAGGAGCCGGCCAGTTTGTCCCCAGTGGGACGCAGGCCAGTTGTGAGGGGGAGGCTTGGGGATTTCTGCGATTGCTGCCCTTCTCAGTGGACCAAGAAGCAGGGGTGTCAGGCGAGAACAGGTACTGGGGGTTTACTGGGGGTTTGTTGAGAGAGGCGGCTTAGACGCCATATCTTGCTGCTCAGCGGGTCTCAGGAGCAGCTGAGAAGCATCAGCATCACCTGGGAGCTGGCTGGAAATGCAGACTCTCGGGTCCCACCCCAGACCTGATGTGCATACTGGCAGCTTCCCCAGGCGACTTAGATGCACTTGCGGTTTGAAAAGCTTGGTCTAAAGCATAGGTGGGCAGACTGTACCCGTGAGCCAAATCATGCCCACCTCTTGCCTTTGTAATAAAGTTTGTGTATTGTCTGGCTGCTGTCACGCCACATGACAGAGTTGAGTAGTTGTGACAGAGACCATATGTCCTGCAAAGCCTAAAATGTTTACTACCTGGCCCTTTATGGCAAAAGTTTGCCTGCCGTCTAGGGTGGGTGGGTGGGAGAGTGAGTGAGTCAGGCTCAGGGCACCAGAGTTACCCGGAGGAGTTGTCAACACGAAGATTATTGGTATCCCCCTCCCACCGGGATTTCTGATTCAGTGGCCTAATTTTCTAGGTGACACCAATGTGGCAGGGACCACACTTTGAGAAGCCTAAGTCTAGACCAAGGGAGGGGTGCCAGGCCTAGGCTGTGGCTTGCAGGTTGTGGCGGTGAATTTCAGGTGGGACCAGGCAGCACCTCTTTGTGTTATCCCAGTCCCGTGCAGCTGCTGGGCACCAGGACAAAGGAGGCAGAGAACTGGAGACTTCGGGATGGGGCCGGGGAATGGAGGCCAGAAACCGTGGTTCACCAGGACCTCCTAGCTGAGGAGGTGTGACAGGAACAGGAGCATCAGTGGAAGGCAGTGGGACCGTGGACTACAAGTCCCGATGTGTCAAAGAGCTGGGAGGTGTGCGGTACTAAGAGAGAGAGAGTGAGCCCCGCTGGCGCTGGCGATAGAAGGTGCCTCTCAGCAGAGAGGCCAGGGTTCCTTCACGCCTTCTTTCCTCCGCCAAGAGGCCCCCCTCCTCTGCACTCCCACCTATGCTCTGTAGCATAATGATCCCAATTCCTGCCGCCCTCCACTGGGCTCTGGGGCAACTGCCTGGGAGGACACCCTGGCTCCCCCTCTGACCTGCTGAGACCTGGGCAGCCGACTCCCTTTATGGTGCCCTGCCTGGTTCCCTCTCGGGGAAATGGTTGTGTCCCTTTGTAGAGCTGCCAGAGCGGGAGTGACTTAGGTAAGGTCCTTAGAGCCTGCAGAGCCTGCAGCAGTGCGGGCTGCCACCAGGCTCATGTTTAGTCCGCTCTGCGCTCCCGCGCTAGTAACTGGAGCACCGTGGACACCATGTTCAAAGCTGGGAGCAGCACGGCCTCTACTCAGCATCAGGCCAAGCGCGCTCGTGTGATTACTGGCAAAAGGAGAAAGGCTGATATGCTAGGTGTGTTTTTCCATCTCACAGGGGTACGTTTGGGCTCGCCTGGGCCTTCCTAATTGATTTGCGCTCATTACTGTGTGCCTTGTGTCACGTGAAAATGTGTGTGCGCAGGGGTGTGTGGTCAGTGCATGTATGCTCTTCATACGCACTTGTCCTCTCTGGTGGGTGACAGACGGCATCACCATGGTGACAGTGTCGTGTGCTAGCATGGAGGTGGAAGGAGTCCTGGGGGAGAGTGTCTTTGACTCTCTTTGGGACATTAGGCAGAGAGGGAGAGGGCCTTGCCCTGGTGCAGTGTTAGCCCAGAAGCGCCCTCCTCAGAACATCCCTTTGCTCTTGTTCTGGAAGTCCTGCCCAGCACATAATAGGTCTCAACGTTGATGAGGAGGGGTCCTGTCGTAGGTGTTTGCATGATGTGTATTTGCCTGCATGGGTCTGCATCAGACCCTTACAGAGGATGAGGACATCCTTACCGTTTTTTCTCACTTCAGAGAAAATGTCTCGTGACTTGTTGGCCCCCCATACAATTCAGTATGTTTGTGTAGCGTTTACAGATTCTGCAAGATGTTTGGCCAAGCACCCTCTCGCAACCTTGTACAGCGGTCTTCTCAGTGCCTTGTGCCCTGCGCTCAGCGCCCTCTCCAACCTCCCCCTGCTAGACAGGTTCTGTAGTAGCCAGGTTGCCCCCACCTCCCCCCAGGTAGCTGAAGAGATGTGTCTTTGCCCAAGTTCCTGGCAGTAGTCATTCTTGCACTGTGTGCAGATAGCCAGGCACTTTCCTTGGTGGGAATACTGCCCCCGCGTGCATCCCCTCCATCCTTCAGGGGCACATGAACTGAGTGTGTTAACACACCTTCCCACTGGTGATTTTCCACGAGCCACACCTCCTCCGCTCCCACTCGTTTTCCAGCTGGGACAGCCCCTTGTCCAGGAGCAGCCCAAGGGCAGGGCCCAGGCCTGGGGCTCACCAGCCAGGCCCCGTGAGATGTGGTGTGTGGTGGGGCAGTGACCGCTGAGGACAGCCAGCAGAGAAACCTCGTACCCCAGGCCTGCAGGGCCACCGCGAGGTCTTGTCTGCATTTCACTCGAGAAGCCTGCTGACTTGAACCTGAGCTTCCTTTGCCTTCTTTCCCTTTGGCAGGCGAGTTCAGAATGTCCACACAGGCCTCGACCTGACCGTGCCCCAGCACCAGGAGGTGCGGGGCAAGATGATGTCAGGCCACGTGGAGTACCAGATCCTGGTGGTAACCCGGCTGGCTGCGTTCAAGTCGGCTAAGCACAGGCCCGAGGATGTCGTCCAGTTCTTGGTGAGCTGGGGGCTCTGCCAGGGTGCTCCTGAGGGGGCCCGGGGGCCAGGTGCACAGGTGTGAGCAGCATCAGGGAGCGGGCGCTTCTCTGGCCAGAGCGTGCTGGGTGGTAAGGGCACAAGAGCGATTCAGGTGCTTATGGTCGGAGGGGAGACAGACTGGTAAAGAGACAGGTGCAGGCCATGACAGGAGCGCACGGGGCTGTAGCTGTGCAGAGGAGCAGCACCTGGCCCACCCTTGGGAAATGTTCTGGAGGATTTCTGGAGGTGAGGAGCGAGCCCATAGAGCTATACAGGAGAAGGGAATCCCAGGCAGAGGGCGGGGCGTAAGCAAAGGCACGGAGGTTGGACACAGGGTGTTGTGTGTGGGGAACTGTGCGCAGTTCAGTGTCATCCTGGATGAAGTAGAAGATGAGGGTGAGGACGGGCAGGATCCAGGTCACGGAGGGCGTGTAGGGAGCCTGACTTGTCTTGCAGCCAAGGAGGACTTTGAAGTAGGGGAGTGACTCACTGGCCCATCTGGTGGGGAGTGGAGTTGGATTGGAAGGAACCGGGCAGGAGGCAGGGGGCCCAGTCACGAGTCCAGTGATGCCCCAGGGGAGTGCTGGAGGCAGGCCAGCAGGAGTTGGTGGGAGAGGGAGGGAGAGAGTTGTAAAATACAGTATTTCCAAAGTAACATGCATATCATTTGCTGGCTGACTGTTTGCACCAACTGTAGAGCACCGGCGGAGGGGCGGGTCTAAGGGGGATGTGTGGAGTCTGAAGTGTCCCACAGACACATGAGGCTGGAGTGAGGGACTGGGCAAAGGGAAGGGTTTAGGAGGAAGCCCCAGACACACAGGCAGCTCAGGGACAGTCACAGAGAAGGAGGAGCCTCTGAGGCCAAGGGAAGAGAAGGGGGCATCGTGGAGTCGCAGGAGCTAAGGGAAGAGAGAGCTTTTAATTAAAGGTAAAATGAGCCAGAGTCCTGTGGTACAGACAGGATCAACAGCTACAGGTTTGCGCATATTTAGTTCTGAATCTCCTGGCAGCCAGGACAGAAAGGAAAACGATGAATTACGTAGCTCTGGTGACCTATTAGAAGAGACATCACCTTCTAAGAGAGAAAAATGTATGGCACGGTCTTTACAGGATATTTAACACATGGGAAGCATCGAAAAGAGCACGATGTCTTTCATTTGCTCCTTAAATTGACCTTTTTTTAAAAGTTTATTTATTTTGAGAGAGAGAGCAAGAACAGGGAAGGGGTAGAGAGGGAGGGAGAGAGAATCCCAAGCAGGCCCCGCACTGTCAACGCAGAGCCCGTTGTGGAGCTCAAACTCACAAACCGTGAGATCATGACCTGAGCCGAGACCAAGAGTCGGACGCTTAACCGACTGAGCCAGCCAGGCGCCCACTTAAATCGATGACGTTTAGGGAGAATCAAGGTCTGATCTCGGGTGCTGGATCTGGTTCTGCTTGGCTCTGAGTGCTGGGGTTTTGCAACTCCTGATCATCTGACTTGACCCACCGTGGAGCTGAACACACACACGTTTTCAGGGCTGGGAGCAGAAGAGAATATCTGAGGTGCGTGTCTTTGGGCATAAGAGAGAAGCAACATCCGGGGAGCCCTGGAGGAGCATCTCGGCAGGTCTGAGTCCTGCACAGAGGGCCATCCTTATGTGCGAGACCATGGTGGAGACATCTTTACGCCCCCGTGCATCACCCCAGTGCGAGTCTTTTGTGGCCAGTGAGAACTGCAAAGGGTGTTAAGTGCGTGTATGGATGGCCATGCGTGCAGGGGCTTCTCACACATTTTGAACCGCCTGCGAGGGCGGAGGAGAATGCATTTATCCCCCACGAAATCTCTGAAGTTTCATGATTTAGCTTAAAAAAAAGGAGGGGGGAGCATTTTGCATTCTATTCCTGAAGAGGATACATGTCTCAATAAAAACACGAATTTAACTGCTCACCAGAAAGTAAAACAGCCCCCAAAAAGGGACACTGGGTGTGCTTGCTGTTTAGCGGCGCCCACGTGTGCTTGCTGGCAGTACAAGCACACACGCCTCCCCCGGAGAGGCTCAGGGTAGCAGTGCTGTGCACCCTGCCCGTTGCGGCCCCAGGTGAACAGCAGCTCACATCTCTGCACCCATGGCCTCTCCCCGAGCCTCTTCTCCCAGCTGTTCAGGAAGCTGCTTGAGAGGCCCTTGCTTTGGAACACTGATGAATGTGGGTCCTGGTTGGGCGGGGGGCACCCCTGACTTAAAACTTCCTGGCCTCTCACGCTATCAGTGCTCAGGAAACCTGAAGCTTCCAGGACCCCATTCCACTCCTGCTGGGTCCAAGGGCCAGACCCGCGTGGGGCTGTCAGGCCAGCAGAGGGCGCTCAATCCTCAGGGTCACAGCTTCCCTGATTGGGCCGAGTCACTGTTCTCAGGACCCAGGGGTTAGAACCTACATCTCTTTCCTGAAAGGATCCTCTTACTTTTTTCCTTGAGGGCTGTTCTCAGGACAGCTCCAGAGCCAGAGCCAGCTCTGGAGCCAGCTCCAGATCCAGTTGACAACTGCAGGCTGCAGCCGCCTGGCCCAGGGAACTCCCCATTGGCGGGGGGAAGGTGGAGAAGGGGGCTGGGGGACTAAATTCCTCCAGTGCTCCAGCCACCTGCCGGCATGTGAAACCCTCACAGGCTGGGGGTTCTGGTGACAGCTGTAGTTAGCCAGGGCCGTGCGCTCCAACACAGCTGTGCACCGGGATCGCCAGGTCTCATGTCAGCACCTCCAGACACCCCCAGCGTCCTCAGCCACACCAGCATTCAGTGCTGTGCCGCAGGTTTGGCCCTGGCCCGGGAGCAGAGGTGGGTCTATCTCTGTTTTTATGCTCAGTGCTCCGTCAGAGGAGCTGGGGAGCCAGGCCCAGCATACAGAGTCCAAGACAAGGGAGGATGCTGGGCGATTGATGGGTGGGTGTGTGGTCAGAGCAGGTGACTCTTTGAGCACCCCCGCTGGGTTGCACAGACTGCAGCAATGCCTCTGACCCACTGTGCTGCGGCTGCTCCCTCCATGCAGGGCCTGAGCCTTGTGGGGCAGAGATCATGCAGAGGTGGCCTCATAGAATGTGAACTCAGCTGGGAACTAAGTGTCAGGGTGACTCTGGTGGCCTGGGACCACCTGCCGACCTGCTCCCCCGAGGTCCCAGTGTGCATTGGCGTTCTGGCTGACAGCAGGGCTGAGAAACAACCTTGTAATATCTGGTTCTTCTCCACTGGAGCCCTGTAGGGATGGTTCCAGCTAGAAGGCTGCTGCTTGCACACGGGAATATGATCCAGAGATCTGTGCTGAGAAAAGGTGACTCATGTGGTTGTCGGAAGATGACCTAACAGCTGGCCAAACCATGAGGTCACCCCACTAGTCTGCTGAAGACCCAGAATGGAGGCAGCCGGCCTCCTTGGTCGCCCGTGGGCCGGGCCAGGGTCCCTGTGCCAAATGTCTCTACCTGGACCCGTGACAGTGCCTGGAATCCACCATGGCTGTATCTTCTCTCTGGCTACTCAGACTTTCATAATTGAGCCTAGTACTGATTAGGGGTGTTGAGAATGGAGCTGAGGAAGGACGATGGGTGGAGGGTCAGAGGTGCCCCAAGGCACCTGTCCTGGGGACAGGCTCTCCAAACAGCCCGGCCTCTGGGCTGTCTGGTTGGGGCAAGGGGGAGAGTACTCAGGAAACCACATGCCCCTCTCATTCCAGGTCTCCAAAAAGTACAGCGAGATCGAGGAGTTCTACCAGAAACTGAGCAGTCATTACCCCGCGGCCAGCCTTCCCCCACTCCCCAGGAAGGTCCTGTTCGTTGGGGAGTCTGACATCCGGGAAAGGAGAGTCCTGTTCAATGAGATTCTGCGCTGTGTCTCAAAGGACGCCGAGTTGGCAGGAAGCCCAGAGCTGCTAGAATTCTTAGGTACCTGAGGCTCTGTCCCAAACCCCTGAGGTCTCCCCTGGCCCAGAACTAGGCCTCACTCCCCTGGCTGGGCCAGTATGGGTCCACAGCTACTGCCTGCAGTCAGGAAGCTTCAGCCAGGCTGTTGAGGCAGGTGGGCCTTACCCGCTGCCTGGCCGTGGTGGTGGGCAGGGAGAGGCTGGCACCTGGTCTTTGAGGACTGACTGCCTGGGTGCCAGATGGGGCTCATACAGGGTGTTCTCTGTAGTCTGACTCCACCAGAGGCCCATGCCCCTGGCACCATGCCCCTCCTGGCATCCCCAGAGCTCCACTCCGCCCCCAACAGACACACCCCATTTTGCCTCCTGCCAGCCAGGCCTGGGGACCTGGTCCCTGGGGACATCTCCCTCAGCTTGCCCCCCACAGATGTGTTTTGGGTATGGCTACAGGTGGAGGCTCAGCCCACACTGGCCCAGTGGCAGGGACTTCAAACCCTTGTAGTGTGTGTCCTCAGCCACCTCCTTCCCCTTCGAGTTTCCTTAGCTGTCAGATGGGACAATGCCTGGCAGCCAGGTGGCAAGAGAATCCAGTGAGCTCACACGTGTGAAGCATGTAGAACAGAGCCTGCTGTGCAGGAAGTGCTGTACAAGGGTGGCTGACGTTTTCCTTCCCACTTGGTACACCCGGGCGCCATCCAGGCTTGCCGTCCAAGGCAGATGAAGTCTCTGTGCACCCCTGGGTGGGGAGAGGTCCCATCAGGAGGTGCTGGACTCTCCCCCTGACTTTCTCCCCTCTTTGGACCATTCTGTTTAACTCTTCCTAATGACCGTGGCCTCTAAGCTTCACAAGACAGATGGGAGGTTTTCAGAAGACAATTAACAAATAGCAAATACACCCAAAAAAAAAAAAAAATTTAAGGGGTGAGGAATAAAAGCAAAACCAGTGAATGCACAAAAGGCTGGGACTGGGTAAGGCTGCAGAGCCCAGGTTTCTCCTCTCCTTTTCCATCCCCCCTACATGGGCTTGTGGGCCCCGGGTTGTTTGCTATGAGATCACAACCTGTTTGCCTCCCGATGGTCTGTGTTGACTGTGAGATGGGGACTCCAGCTGATCCATAATTGGGGGGAACTCCCGATCTCCTGGCCCCCTCTGTTATGGAGAAGCAGGACAAGGTGGTCTGACTTTCCTAGCCTTTCTGTGCCTCAGTTTCTTCATCTGTAAAGTGCAGGTGCAAACAGGATCTCTCGCATGAGATTTTTACAATATTTAAATAAATCCATACTTGAAAAATGCTTTTTTAAAAAAATTTTTCTTAATGTTTATTTGTTGTTTTTTAGAGAGAGAGACAGAGCATGAGCAAGGGATGGGTAGAGAGAGAGGGAGACACAAAATCCAAAGCAGGCTCCCGGCTCTGAGCTGTTAGCACAGAGCCCGACGCGGGGCTCAAACCCACGAACTGTGAGATCATGACGTGAGCCTAAGTCAGAGGCTTAACCAACTGAGCCACCCAGGCGCCCCTACCTGTAAAATGCTTTTTACATAATCCTGTTACATGAAATTGAAGGTTCGTGACATTTTGAATGGTATTTTCACGTTTGTCCTAATAAATCAATAGCAAAGCATACCATAAGGCAGTGTATCATTACTGCTTAGTTTTACTTATTACAGTAACACATATTACTCTTGTATACGTATTCATACCCTACGTGCCATGCGTTCTGTAAGTTTGTTACTTAAGAATGATATTTTTTAAGAAGGAACTGCTTTCAAAGATCTACCACTCAGTGGCTGTTTAGGTATAGATGAACAAGTGGTCTAAACCCATTTCTCAATCCATCTGTGGGGAAGGACTAGCTCTTATATTCCCAATCTGTCACAGACAGATATTTTCACAAATAACAAAAATCCCATGCTTGGATGTCGTGACAGTGTCAAGCTGTTATGGAAGTTTCCGGATGCTTGCTCTCCCTTTCCTTGTTACCACATCATGGACATCCATCAGTGGATGCTTTGAGAAGCGCTGATGTAAGCCAGTTTGTAATGGAACCGTTAACAGTTTGTGCTAAATCTTCCGCAAGCTCACTGTGCACTCCTTGGGCTCATAGTCTAAGTGCCCAGACCCTTGGAGCAGATCTTCACTGGATTACAGAGCTCCCTGATACGCCCCGCAAATGCACGCTGGCTGGCTTGTCCGGCCCTTAGCCCGGGCGTGCAGGTTCGGCCGCTGCTGTGATGCCAACCTGTTCCTCGGCTCCTCCCTGTAACCACTCCACTCTAGGCTTCGCTGGGGAGCTTCACCCCCGACAGGCTGCAGCAGGGGCTCAGAGCCCAGGCTGCCCCTTATCCACTCAGACCCACAACCCTGGTCCCAGGGTGCTGTAGGAAGCCCCCAGCTCAGGTCCTGGCACAGGAGCTTGGGTGTGATGCGATGCCTCATTCCCTGCCATGGGTGTCAGGTGCCCTTTTCTGTCTCCTTCCACAGGCACCAGATCCCCGGGGGCTGCGGACCTCACCAGCAGAGATGTCTCTGTCCTAGAGGCACACAACCAGGCCCGGGACGACGGGGAGGCTTTTGACTTCTTCAAGCAGCAGGACCAAACGGAGGATGAGGGTCTACCCATCCCAGGCCTGCAGGGTCAGGATGCAGGGAAATCCTCTGAGGAGGAAGAGGAAGAGGCACTGGACCCTCTGGGCATCATGCGGTAGGTCTCCCCATCCTAGATGGGCCCTCCTTCTGGCTTGTTCCTGGTGATGGCTCTTCTCATCCTCTGTTCCGAGAGTCTGAGAAAACCTGTCTCTCTGGATCATCACCCCATGTACCTGGGGTGCTCAGGGAACTGGCTCTCTACTCACTCTCGACATGCCTATTCTTAGAGCTAGGCTCAGGCATTGCCTTCTCCCTGGCCCCAAGGCGGGCCCCTGATCTCTAGCTCCGCACTGAGTCTTGGGAGTCCCGACCCCTGACACCCCACCTCAGCAGCCCAAGAGCCCCCGGGTCTCCACCCAGGTCACCACTGATAGCCTGTGACTTGTGGCATGTGATTGGAGCGCCCTGGGCTGCATTTCGTTGTTCTTAAAGCAGGGGTGTTTACCTTGGCCCTGCCTCCCCCAAGGCGGTTGTAAGGCCTGTGAGTTACATGGGTGGAGGAGACTGAAAACCCTCAGGGTGCTGACTGTGTGATGAAGAAGGTAGAGTGAGCCCTGGGGTCCCCTAGCCAGTCAGCTGTGTCCCCTTTACATGCACATACATGCACACAGGTGCATACGCACGTACGCTGGCTGGAGAAGAGGTAAGCCAGCTGCGGTCTTGGTGGTCCCTTAGTGTCCTGATTCTGTCATCTGATTCCTTCTCCTTTCCTGGCCCTCCGACTGCCTTAGCCAGTCACTGAGCTGCTCCCAAGCCCCCACTGCAGGACCACCCTGTGCTGGGAGTAGGGGACCCCAGGCAGGATGAGCCCAGAGAGACATCTGTTCCCAAGGCCTGTCTGATGGGCACAGGCTGAGGTGTGTGGGAAGGGCCTCCCAAGCACACAGACTCAGCCACTCGAGGGCCCTCACGACTGCTTGGCCCAAACCTGCGAGAAGCAAGGTGGGAACTCCTAGGTGTTTCTGAGCACCTACCACACACGGGGCTTTGTACTTTGCACTTCACATACTGTGCCTCATTGATGCCCTGCCTGCAAGCAGATGCTGTAAAATGGGACGTTTTACAGATTAAAGAAACAGAAGCCCGCAGAGGCCGAGTGCCATGCACAAGGCCAGACAGCTGGTAAATAATGGTACTGGGATGCAAATCCAGTTCAGGGCCCCGGACTGTGGTGTGGACTAGACTGCTTGGGCTTGAATCCTGGCTCTGCCACTTGCCAGCATGTATTCCTGGCAGTTTACCCTTGTCAGTTTCCTGCAGTGAAAATAGAGCACTGCCAGCACCTCTCTTTAGGGCTCTTGTGGCGACCGCCCTTCTCATGGTGCCAGCTTGCTGCCCCAACACCTCCGCAGAGCCAGCCGCAGACCCGCAGCGACACTCCCTCTGCCCTGGTGAGAGATTGAAGTTCAGCCAACAGACGAGGGAGGCCCGTCTCGCAGGTCCTGTTCCAGAAATTAGGGAGGGGCAAGTTCCACCTAAATGACATGAAAATCACAGTCCAGAAAACTCTGCCCGCCATCCGCCAGCTTTCCTCTCCTGGAGGGGATGTGAGGCTGGGCACACACAAGAGGGGTGGCTGCAGGGCCCCCGTGAGACCAGCCTACAGGGGACAAGGGTTCACTCTTGGGAAAGATCTGGTGCTCTGGGAGACACGGCACCAGAGCCAGAAGTCGGGCAGCGCCTTGGTGCCCAGGAGTCAGGTCCCCCTGGCCCTCCACGGCCACCTTGACCTGGATGAGGATCAGCGGCCCTGTGGAAGAGGCAGTGAGGTTATTTGGGGAACAGTTTGTAATAGGCACTCCTTATCAGCCTTGCACAACCTGCAGGCCCTTCTTGGGCTTTATTTTGGTAAAGATAAGGCTTTGTTTGAACTCATGCTCTCTGTTGTTCTGAGTAACCACACGTAAAGCCAAACAGAGAAGGACTTCAGTGGTTTGCACCAGCCTTTGGCTGAGGGTCATGCTTAGCAAAGCGGCTCCTTTTTTGGGTAGGAAAATGCTCTTTGGGGTTGGCAAGGCCGCCCTGAATTTTCTACTTATTTCAGTAGCAGATTGTCAGGAGATGTGTCAGCCATCTGGGACCACCCCCCCCCCCCCCCAGCCCCCAGCACTGTCCCCAGCTCTGCACTCGGGGGTGGCAGGGGTGGGGGGTTGCTGATTTCTGAATCCTGGGAAAGCTTAGCATCTGAAAGGGATCCCAGAGGTCTAATAAGACCTCCTGCTAATTTTTCCTTTAATGACTGGTGTGACAGTGGTCAGTTCTGTTGGTCCCATCAGGAAAAGTAAAAACTAACATTTTTTGAGAGCTTGGTAAATGCCAAGAACTGATTCCCATTCTCGTGAATAGATACTTCTATTTCTGTTGTTGTTTTTTTTTTAAGGTCATGACACATCACCTTGCTCTCAGGACCTGTGTGGGTCTGGTTTGGGAAATGGTACTCTAGGAAGCCAGTAGAGGCATCAGGCTCTGTGTGTGTGTGTGTGTGTGTGTGTGTGTGTGTGTGTAAGCTGAAGTTTGGAGACAAGTAGCTCATCCAAATTCATGCAACCACAAAAGGCAGAGTCAGGATTCAGTGCCCTCCCCTTGCATGCACTGTCCCTCAGTTCCGGTCATTCTGCAGTCTGGGAGGTGGGCAGGGCCTGGGATTATCCACAGATGGGAAAACTGAGGAGAGTTGAGCAGGCGCTTGGCTGAGCCTCATACATATGTGGCAGAGCCCCACCTTGAACTCAGGCTTCCCCCTTGGCCTCTGCGAGGGCACCCAGGTGGGCCTGTTGACTCTTGCACAGTGCTGTCCCCCCTGCCCTTTAGTGGGGAGCATTCTGGTTTTTGCAGGAGACTTACGCTTTGCATGTACATGCCCCACCCTGCCCTCAGTTCCTCTGCAGATGCGGCACCCGCTATCCCAGATGTGCACCAACCCCCACCCCCAGTGCCCATCTGGGCCTGGCTTTCCAGAGCAGCCACGTTTGACAGGCGTGAGTCCTTCCTGCCTTGGACCCGGTGGGGCGCTGTCGCTCCACCACAGGGCTGCCGGAAGGGGGGGAGGTCGCCAGCACAAAGCCCCGTGCAGGGACTGCCCGGGCTTTTCTTTGTCTCTTAAACCTGATTTTGATTAGGGAGAAGACGACTTGCTACACCAGTAGAAAGTGCTTAAAGATAGAAAGAGCTTTCACTCAGCCCATCACAACTCTGCCGCTCTCCTGCTGCTCACAGGGTTTTGGGCATTTGTGTCCCCGCATGACCCACATCACTGCATGCACAGCACACATGCCTTTTATGCTGTGCTTTTCACGGTGGATTCTCTCACAGTCGCTTTCCATGTCCTGCGTCATTTTCATGTTTAACTCTATTGTAGAGACTTCACACATTTGCAAAAGGTGGAGTTCTACTGTAATAGTTCTGCCTTCCGCTGGAAACACTCTGTTAAAACCATTTTTAATTGTAACTTGAATAATACAGATTAGTACAGAAAAATTGAAAACACAGCAAAAAGGCCTTTTGCCATGGAGGTATAGCTTTTGGATATACATTTTTAATACCAGAATGGGGTGATGTTGTGTGCACCGCTCTATAATTTGCTCTTTTTTTTTTTCAGCATATGTACTGGGTCTTTCCAGATCAGCAAATAGGTTTCTACATTCTTAATCCTGTGCTAGTCTGTTGGGTCAATGCCCTGCACATGGCTTTGCCAGGCCTGCCTGAGGCATTGTGGTGGTTTCCGTACGTTTTTGCTGTTACAGGCAGTGAGGAAGTTTATCACATATGGAGTTTTTCCTCCCAGATAACTGCCCCAGAGCAAGGCCCTGGAAGCTTCTGCCCAGGGGCCTCAGTTGTGCTACTCGGTTATGTAGAATTCTTTAGGGACTTAATCCCTCTCTGTTGGGAAGGCGTTTTTGCTTTTCTAAACCCTGCTCATCCGAGAGGTCCTCTGCCTCTCACCTCTTCCTCCAGTGCCCAGTGAGCCCCCCCTACAGCCCCAGGTCCCTGAGGACCCTCAGCTCCCCAAGGGACAGGCTGGTTCCTGCATGAACATGCCTTCTCTTAAGGCCAGGCTTCCTGCTCTCTGCTCACAGGAGGGGGAGCCAGCCCCCACTGCACTGGACATGGCCTCAAGTGGTGAAGCTGGATGGTTTTTTTTGGAGTGAATCACATATTTTGTCATAATTATTTATACAAATTTTGCCTTATCTTCATAGAAGAGTCATATGTGTCTTAGTATAAAAATGTTTTACTCCTTGTATTTGGATAAAGTCACTCCTCTGGGATGACTCTGTGGTTTTGAAAACCTCCTAGCATACTGCCTGTTACCCCCAGATTTGCTCTAGTTGGGGATTTACTTATTTGTGCCCCAGCTTTATTGAGACCTAATCGGCACATAACATTGTATGAGCCTAAGATGTGCAATGTGATGATTTAATGCACGTATAAATTACAAAATAAACCACAATAAGGTTAGCAGACTCCTCCATCTGAGAAACTAGTTCTGAGATTTGGAAGTGAGATGTCCTCCAAGGTGGGCTGTGGAGGGGCTATGCAGGTGGCCCCAGCCGTACCTGGTGAGGTATCTGACTTCAGAAGCTGCTTCTCCTCGGCCACCTCACTCACGGGCCTGGGATCCCTTTAATGTTCTGGCCCCTGCCTAGGACAGCAGGCCCCGCTGGGAGTCTCGCCCTGGAGCTTGTGAGAAGCGCCCTCAGACCTGGGCTTTAAGGAGCCCTTTAGGTGATTCACAGGGAAGTTCACGTTTGAGAAGCCCCAGAAACCAAAGTTGATGACAGTCTTGGATATGGTGGGAAGGAAGCGACGCAGGAGCAGCAGGCTCTCCGGCCACAGCTCTGCCATCCGCTGGGGCTTCCAGAAGGGTGAGTTCAGGGGTCCATCCTGCTGCCCTCAGTCCCCCGCCCTTTCCAGCTCTCAGGCTTTCTCTCCTGTCACCCACCACCTGCCAGAGGGCAGTTGTTCCTGGTCACAGTGGGGCCTTGTCCTGTACCTCAGCAGACAGCACTCAGCCGCGGCCTGGCCCAGAACCAAAATCAATGAGGAGCATGGTGA